TCACTCTCTTCCCCAAATGACACTTTGATAGTTTTCTTTCATTTACCATGTCATTAAGCAACAAGTTCTTATATTTGGTTTCCTTTATTTCAACTTTGTTGTTCTGCAAACTTCAGTCAGATTCTTCATCCATGTGATTGGCAGGGTCGATTTGGTGATAACAGTGACTGTAGTTTTAAATGCATGGTATATAGTCATAATCAATACTGATATCTATTCATTCTTCATACCTATTCCCAAGTCCCTGTGATACAGAGGAGGAAATGAAGGCCACAAGAATTGAGTATTTCTCAAGGCCATCCCTCTTCCCCAAGTCCAGGTGATAGAAATCAGCAGGCCTACAATTAAGTATCATCCAGCCTTCATTTGCTCAGGGGACTTTTTTGGTGAAAACCTGCTGTGTTTGGACTCACACTGTTTCCTAAGGCGGGCTGGAGATCCCATTATGTCCTTGCATTGATTGAGGCTCACTACTACCTCAGTTCCAACTGAGCAATTTCCTATTACAACAAAAGAGAGAGAGACTCAATCCAATCATAGAATCTGGGTGAGAAATGTGATGGAAAGAATGCCCCTCTACCCTAGTTTTTAGGAGTCCTTTTATTTCCTCCTCTCTCAGGCATAAAAGAATCATTGAAACTATAGGCTCTGCTAAAATCTTTAATTTTATAAGTACCCTGTTCTTTAATTATAGTTAAATTATTTTCTTAAACAATCCACTACAATGCAGTTCTGGTGACACTTTAGGTATAAATTCACATCTAGACAAGAGTAAATTTTACAGTAAGTAAAATTGATGCATAAAATAATAAGTCTCAAACAAATTGCATAGTGCCATGGAAGTGATTCATACAGCAGACAAGATTATCAAAGTGGAATATAGAAATTGTATGTATTGATACTTGGACTGTATGATTCATTTTCTGTGGTAATTTAATCAGTGAATAACAAAATAGAATGAGCTTGAAGTGTTTTCTGCTCAAAGTTACTGAAGATGGCTGGTTGGCAGCAATAATTAACTAAATGATTTCCTGGCTAATTAGAAGAAATGGATAATATGTGCCTAAAATTCTATTCTTACTGAGAGGATGTAACTGACTCTCCCTGTGAATACATTCAACTAAACTGTGGCTACAGATTGTTCTTTATTTTAGCTTCAGTTTATTAATGACACAAGCTCTTCTCCATTTTGCCCTCATATAGGAATCTTTCTATATTACTATAACATTTTATTCTGCACCTACTATAAAGGCAATTAGTCATTCATTATAACACAAAAATTCAAAATGGTTGCAATTATATTTTCTGAAGCAAAAGCACACCCTTTTATGTGGATAATTTAAGGATCTGCATTTAAAAGGCATAATGGTAAATAAGAAGACCCTTAAACTAGCATTCATATTTCCTGCATATGAAACATTAAATGGATAATTTCTACCTATAATGATTTATTTTTATGGTGGAGAATTTTAAAGAATTGATTTAATTAGCTGTAACTATGCTAAGAAGCATAATTTAAAATACTGTTGAATGAATGAGGAAAGTATTTTCAAGCATAGAGAAAACCCTCTTCAATTTTCCTTTTGTTCATTATTCAACAAACATTTATTAAGCACCCACAGTTTGCATGGCAATGTACAGCACAATTATAACCTAACCTGGTATTATTATATTCTAGCTCTAGTAGTGAAGTGAATAAGTTAACCTCTTCAGCTATCCATTCACAGTATATGAGGAAAGACCATAAAAATTAAACGAGTCAGTCTGAAAAAATAATGAGCATGTGTATTGAGGTTTCCTCTTGTTTTGTGTACTAAAAACAGGTTACCAGCTAACTACCCTTTCTATTTCTTCAGGGGCCCAAGAATTTTAAAATAATCTTATCTCAGGCAGTAAATTATATGCTTAATCATGAGTTTCTAAATATTTGTAGAGGTGAGAAGAACAATTTGCAGGATTCTACAGACATGGAAAGAATAAACAGTACAGTAAATTTAGGCAGACAAGGAAGGGGAAATGTATTTTAAGAGATTATTTCCATTTGAAAAGTCATTTAAAACTCAATAATACAGAATAGATTCAGCATTTTAGAACTGGACTTTGGAGCGCATCTAGGCCACTGGTTTCCAACCTTTTGCATTCGAATCACATCACTGGATCTTTCAAAATACAGATTCTCAGTTCTCCTCCCCAGAGATTCTGATTCAATTGGTCTGGAAGGAGCTGAGAGCTCAGGAGGCAGGTGGACATACATTATAAAAGTTCCCCAGAAGCCAAAGCTGAAATCCACAGATCTTGTCCAGCCTCAACATCTCTGGCATGAGATCCCCAAGACCTTGAAAGAATAAATATCTTGCTTAAGATCAACATAGTTTATAACCTTTGAAAGCAGGCCTAGAACCCAAATACCCAAATTCCCAGTCTGGAGCTCTCTTTACTAAACCAACTGATACCAACAACTTCTTCTATGATACACTGGTTGGGATCTAATTACCAATTAGTAATAGGATGCCCATGATGGCCTACAACCCATGTGATAAGCACACCCCCTTCCTCTAATGATCTCTATGCTTCCTTTTTTGCTAAGTACTGTATAAGTCTTCCAATGACACTGCAATGATTAATATATGCTTATTCTGTATTTTGAAATACTATTATTTAATTGAAACTTTTGCACCCATAAAACATATCATTCAAATTTTAAGGCAAAGAAAACAGATGTAATACTTGATTCAGAGTCCAATTTACATCTTCATTATTGAGCTTATATAGCTGAATACACAGAAGTACTCTGTCAGGCTAGGTTTTCCTTGCCAGCTTCCTTTTATGATAATGATTTTAGGTCAGCTTCTTTCACTGGGTTCTGAGAGATCCATCCCAGCACCTAGCATAATGTTTGCCACAGATTCAACACTCAACAATTACTTGTTGAATGAAAAGTCCCTTATTATTGCATTTTGTTAAGAAATGATACAGAGCATCTTGAACCAACTTGTACAGGACAATCCCATATAAATAAAAGTCCTGGGTAGATGGTTTTATAGAGGACTAGTTTTACAGTTACTTTGTTACAAGAGTTTGGGCCTGATTTTCCTGGCATAAAAGTGCTGATTGAAAGTTATAATTCATGTCTGGTTTTGGTAGCACTAGATGCATTCATTGACAAGAAATACTAATGCATCAGGAAAAATGAGTCTTCTGTTTTCTAGCCTGATTTTCCTGGTTTACAAAGTAAAGTGTGATACGGAGTGTTTGGAAATTATTCACATTGGTTATCACTCTAGTTCAAATTCCCCCGAAGCCATTGTCAAGTTGCAATGCAACCTTTAGTCGTTTAGCCATGTTTAGTGTTGGCCTTAACAGAGGTACTATGTTCCAGGTGGGGGGAGAGGTCAGTGCTAATAACCCAAAGGCCTTAAGGACTCTGTTGGACTCTCCTCTTCATTTTTAGTCTACATATACCTCCCACAGAGAGAAATGGCACCTGGGTACTAATCTAGCTAAATGAGCCACATGGAAGCCAATCTGTCTTTTTTTCCAGGTTCTGTAGTCACCATCAGAACATATATACTATAATCTAATCTAACCATTATGAAGTCCTCGTACTTTTTTAAACCTCATGCTCTCTCACTCCCCATTTTGTGCAGGATAAAGTGTAATGAACTGAAATACTCTTCTTACCGCCCTTACCTATCTGGGGAATCTCCTGTTCACCTTACAAAACTCATTTCAATACACAAGGTATAATCTGTCCTTGCATACCATTTGGATTATAGTTGGGCTGTCGTTCACATGATAGTAATAGTCCTTCATTGAGCATATCTTTTATATGTGGCTGAAGGCACTATTGACATGCAATAATCATTGATGAAATAAAATTAATATCAATTTCTTTTTGTCTTTTGGGAAATATAACCATTATTATTATTTGGCAAGGTAAAGAGTGCAGTGCCTCTGATTACTCAAAAAGGTTGCATAGTATTGTGGAAGACAGTAATCTAGTTTCAGAAGAAGATTCAATTGATGGCTATTTAGAACTAAATTTTTATTAAGTAGGTTATTTCAATACTGCCTTTTCAACTCCACTATTTTGACCCACCTCACACACAGATTCGATACACTTGTCTTCACTAAGGCTATTTACTTTTTACCCTGGGGAATACATATATTTGCTCAGTCTTTTATCTAAATCATGTAGAAATAATCAATACAAAATACCACTGACATGAGCTAAAATGACACATGTTTAAATATGGTAGAAATGAATAATTAGCCAAAGAATGTTAACAATTGACACTAGAAAAATTAGCCATGGCAGAAATATCCAATACCAAATAATGAATATTTGATCTCTGCTATATAACTGAAATGAACTAGAGGGCTGAGGGGAAATATATACATTTAAATGGTTAACCTTAGATCTACCACTAACATTAAAGTCAATGTCAATAGAAGGAAGTGGGCTTTGAATAAGCCACAATACTAGAAGTTCTTAGCTCAAGGCCAGGTACACCACAGGAGTTAAGTAAATGCTTTTTGAACAAATGAATGAATGAATTAATTAATTAATTAATGAGTAGATGAACAAATGGTTCTCTTCACAGATTTAGAGTATACTATCAGGATTTAGAGACTTCACTTTAAAACTATCTAATTTGGGAAAGTTGGTGCTGAATATAATGTAGGTGTTTCTGTTAATTAAAATGACTACAGTTATTATTTTTACTATTTATTTATTTATTTATTTATTTATTTATTTATTTATTTATTTTTGTTACAGATGTTTCTCCTTTTTCCCAATTTCTCAGCCTGAAAAGTTAATGAACTGTATCTGTTCCATGAATAATTGAGTTAAACTTGAAAGAGAACCACCCATTCCAAAAGCCTCCCACACTATCAGTTAACTGTGATTTATCCTTTTACTTCTGAATAATTTTAAACATCTTCCATCTGATTTAACTGACAACCAAACTGTGCTTCCTATGTCTTTATTCTCTCAGGAAGAAGATGTTACTCGTGAAAGTCGTTTTAATTTCAGTGGTTATGGGATGGGTCACTGCCTCCAAGTGAAGGATGGAACAGCTGTCAAGACCACACCTGCCAACCCAATCCCACAACCCCCAAAAGATGCAGATGCCATCAAGAAGAAGTTTGTGGACCGAGCAAAAAGGATTGACACGATATCTCGAGCTGCCTTCCCATTGGCCTTCCTCATTTTCAACATCTTTTACTGGATCACATACAAGATCATTCGGCATGAAGATGTCCACAAGAAATAGATGTGCCATGCCCTTCAGACCCTGGGACCTTCTTGCCTAAGTGTTGTGCTTGTAAATACACACAGTGAAATTGTCTTTATATCACTTTGACAGAGGAGAAGATTGGGGGAGGGGGGAGGGAGGATCATGGGGCGGGTTTCCTGGCACCTACGTGAATAAAGATAAGTTATATGGCAATGAAGGAAAATGTTTGCACAAAATTAAGTTGTTGCAGAATCACATGAGCATAATTTCCTTCATGATCTTTAACATTGTTCTTTCAGATGATGTATTAATTAGATATGATATAAAAGGTCAAGTTCTAGAGGGAAATTTGTGTTTTGGTCTGGTTTTGACTAATTCTGGTACTGAAAAGTTAGCTTAAAACACACACATACACACACACAGAAAATGTGTACCATCTGACCATAGTGACTAGCCTATAGAGTGAGTCGAGGACCAAACTTTTTTCAGGAAAACGCTGCCTCATTTTTAAAACAAGCCTCCTGAGCTATGTTCTTTACAATGTCTGTAATTAGTATTTCACCCAAGAAATCCTTTTGTGGGTCATAAATTATTTCTATTTATTGAAAAAAACAAACAAAAAATAAACACCAATCACAAAGAACAGATTTCTACTTTACTGTCTGTGTGGGTGTGCATTTTAATATTATTTTTCTTTCCTAGATGTAATTTTGGGGTTTAAATTGTGTCTCGTGTAATTAATTTGATAGTATACACTCTTAAAAATAAATGCCCATTTTATTTTATGTCCAAGTTTAGTGCACTATATATATTTTTTCACTTTGGTTATATTTATGTGTGAAGTACTCAAGTGTGACTTAGCCATTGCAACCTCTCAGTCACCGTATTTATAGAGATGGTGTGTCTTGAATGGTGTAGCTCATAATAGCCTGAATTTCCCATTTCTGCTCTCACTGTAGGTGTAACTACTAGTCCTAACGTCAACTGACCCATGATTTCTACTGTCAATCCAAGTGAATATCATTTTAAATATCCTTAACTAACTTAAAGAATTTTAAAATTGTACTGTGATTTTCATAACCCGTTGCCTTTTTGGTACCAGAGCTACGTGGTTTGAATCCTGGCTACATGTTTTAAGTAAGAAAAAAAAAAAAAAAAAAGACGTATTTTTGCTTACTCAGATAAAAGACAACCTGTAAAAATATAATGAAAAAATTGAATTTTACATGTGCTGTAAAAGGGGTTATTTAAAAAAGTATTTGTTCAATTTCAATAAAGCTAAGTGTGCCACAGAACTTCTCTAAGAGTCTTTCTGTTTCTGTACTACAATGTGAATAATTGAGATGACAATGGTAACTTGGTTTTTTGTTTCTGGTCTACCTCCTAGGCTTGAAGCACTTATATAGCTATTAGATTATTCTTGTAATATAATAGTAGCTTAGAGTATCCCCATAAAAACAAAAAAAAAATATGTTATTCTCATTGTAGAAACAGGGAAATGGAGACATATAAGCATTGGTCGTCATTGTGAACAGAATCTAATCCTGGATACTTCAAATGAGATATAAAAATGTTCCAAGAACACTGAGGAATCATAAAATCTCAAAGTGAAAAGAAATAAAAAAGACCAACCTGTCTACTTACCCAACCTGATTTTGTCAGGAATTCAAATGAACTCATCTTGACCCCAGTAAATTTTCCTTAACCAAAGATATAATTATAATATTTTCAGGAATAAGTGAATTCATAAGTCAATGTTTATGCCCTCTTAAACCTATTCAAATAGCAACTCATTTCCATAGAGAGGAATATTGTACACTGGCTAAAAGCATAAATTTCAGTGATAGAAAGACTAGCTTGGCCTCTATCAACAGTGTGATCTTGGATAAATTACCTGAGTTTTCTGAGTAGTTTCTGTTTCATAAAGTTTTAAGAGGATACACTGAGAAAAATGCAAGTAAAGCCATTAGTTCAGAGTCTAACACATAGTAAATTATCAATAACTAATAGATAATAATAAAATTATTATTATTATTATTATTATTATTATTATTATAAGTAGTGTTGGTTATGCACAGGGTAAAAATCTTCATAGTATCTAACCTTGGCAAGATTAATGCCTGGCTTTTTGCACCATTTCTTAAATATTATTTCTGTCTTATTGCTCATTCCTTCACAAATAAATAAAGTCTTTGAATGGTCTTGATTCTCTTGCTTCTACTGCAAACAATAAAATTGAGACTAACATGCCTCTCAAAATGGGCTTGGCCCCATAAGTGACCTGATTCTGCATGTGCTGGGATAAGGAGTCACCTTGGGAGAAAACCCTCAGCTAAATGATCATGTCTAATCAATGTATGTACCACATAATTTTTGCACCAAAATTTTCTAATTTTGGAAATTAGAAAATTTCCAAAAGGTTTACCTTTAAACATATCTGCCAGCCACTTAAGTAGGCAAAGGCATCCTGGATAGCAAGAGGGATTCTTGGCTTTTCTCTCATTTTAGTCCATGTTCGGAGGAAAGAACTCTGGAATGTACCAATTTGGGTTATATAAATAACATAAAATCTCAGGGAAAGGATTTGAGTGTCACATATTCTGGTGAAATAAATAATTCCTCTAAAAAGTTACTGGAGTTTTTGTGTAGAACATTTTCTTTCATGATAGCATTTGAAGGAAAATAGTTCAACAGTAAGACCATGGCTCTGAGGTAGAGAACTTACCACCTTTTTCATGAAATTGGAAGTTTCTGGAAGAAAGTGGCTATGTATTCATGGACTCCCTTCAATGCCTACCAAAATTCAAATGCTCAATGTATATTATTACTATCAGTAAGAAAAAATTGATGAAGGGGGCTCTGCTATGCCTGTTAACAAAGTTATATAGGTTTTTCCTACCCAAGCAATGATATGAGGTAACCAACTACTGCCACCATTTTTCAGATAATGAGTAACTAGGAAATATGTCTTTAAAAATTTTTTTTTCTTTATTGATTTCAGAGAGAGAAGAAGGGAGAGGGAGAGAGAGAGAGAAACATCAATGAGAGAGAACATCGATTGGCCACCTTCTGCATGCCCCCCACTGGGGATTGGGCCTACAACCTGGGCACGTGTCCTGACCAGGAATCAAACCGGTGACCTCTTGGTACATGAGTTGATGCTCAATCACTGAGCCACACTGGCCGGACAGGAATTTGTCTTTCAAAACATTTTTCAATTAAGGCTTAAGACTCTTTATGGCATTTTCAAACTTCTTGGCCCAAAATAGATACTACAAACCAAGAAAACTGTAGATTTTTAAAAATCCTTCTAAACAGTGTTAGAATTAAGCTCCTCATCTATGCCACTGAAGAGGTCTGCCACGTTCTGAAAACAAAACTTCTAATAAAGATTAAATATCACTCTATATTTTCTTACTTGATATTTGCTTAATATCAAGTAAAAATGTTCTAACCAAAATATAGCATAAAATTCTATATCATATGATTCACAGCTTTGGAAACTAAAATCATATATTTGGTTTTTTTTAAATTTAAGCATTTCCTAACTTAAACCTGAAGCCAATTTGTGGGATGAATATAAGTTATATGCCTGCCAGATATTCCTTTTTAAATCTTGCAACCTCTGCTATAAACTTTTCCTTATGTTCACCAATTCAGTTTTTTTATTTGTTTAAGTTGAATGATTCAAGTAATACATATTCTTCATAGATCACAAAATAAAAGAACTAAAGCTAACACTACAACCTCATATTCATATGGTGCTTTCCATATATTAACATGTTTTGATGTCCACAACAGCATTCAATTCTAATAAAGTAATCATCCAAGGTGGCCAAATCACAAAGAGTCAATACTCATCCACTGATCATTAGATAAACTGAAGCCCTATGAGTTAAATGTTTCACACAAAGACCCTAATGTGTTAGAGGTTGAACATTCCAGCATGGTTTATTTCCTATAGCCTTTTACTATATCCACACTGTCTAGGAAAATAAAATCCTGGGAAGTAAAAGATCATGGTACCACTAACCCACCCTCATGGATGACAAAACAAATTGGTAAAGGAGGGCATATAATAGACTATTTCTGTTGAAAATGCCTAAGAGAAATACCTCAAAATTGTGCATGCAGCACTAAGAACATCTTCACAGAGTCAATATCATAGGTGATTGAATGGCCAAAAAGATACTGAGTTTGAAAAAAAAAGGCAAACAGAATTCAATTTAGAAAGTGTTTATTTCCATTTTTGAAGGAGAGAAAATGACTTCACATTGTCACAAATGTCCCCACATAAGAAAAGATGTAATATCCTTGTTTTTGTGCAAATGCATTTTTAAAGTAAACAACATAGTTTTCTTCCATCTGAGGGTAGTGTGTATTAGATGTTTTTAGACTACAAGCGAGCATTTAAAAATACATTATCACTGGGTCAGATGGAAGTGCAATTTTTAATTTTTTGAGGTAACACCATATTGTTTTGCATAGTGGCTGCACCAGTCTGCATTCCCACCAGCAGTGTACTAGAGTCCAATTTCTCTTCACCCTCGCCAACACTTGTTTGATGATTTGTTGATATCGGCCATTCTGACAGGTGCGAGGTGATACCTCACTGTTGTTTTAATTTGCATCTCTCTGATGATTAGTGATGTTGAGCATTTCTTCATATGTCTCTTGGCCATTTGTATATCCTGTTTGGAGAGGTGTCTATTTAGCTCCTCTGCCCATTTTTTAACTGGGTTCTTTGTCTTCCTTTTGTTGAGTTGTATGAGCACTCTATATATTTTGGAAATTAACCCCTTATCTGATGTATTTTTCACACATTCAGAGCCTATCACCTATGAATTGAGTCAATTTCTGTGTGGTCCACTTTAACTACTGCAATTTTTAAATCATCTAAATATCAAAAAGGCTAAAAGTGAAAACACCATGTCTAGAGACAGTTTGAACTCACTTCTTTGTTAAAAGAAAACAATAGAGATTTAATTGTTTCACTCTGACTTAATACAGAAAGGAAAACATTTTTTAAATTTAAATGTTGAAAAAGTTTAAGTTGGCATGACTAGGGCCAGGAGGAGGAAGTTAGTAGGAGAACTTTTCTTTATATAGCTAATATTGGTACAGCACCAGTACAGTTCACAAATTGCTTTCACATAACG